TTCTGAAATAAACAGAGCGTACGTAAAAAAGGAGGAAAAATATCGTTGAGATCACAGTGACCCCAAATGTTTCTTTCAGCCTTCAATGTATTAAATCAGCCGCGTTTAAATTATTTCAATTTTCTCTGACTTTTCTTCAAAATGTCAGTTTTTCCTGACTCAAAATAAATTTCCCTGACTTTTCCCAATATTTTTTTCCCCTGACCTGTGGTAACCCTGGCCATGCTACATAGCGTCTAGATATGGTTTGCCCTCTGATCATCGCACGGCAGGCTCAGTGATAATGTTACATAACTCAGAACCGACCACCCACACAGAATCAGAAGTAAGTCTTTTCTTATGCAAAACTTTCCACTTGTTTGGTAAAAATACTAATATGGCCGCCACGAAACATCGAGGCGTTAGTGGTTTTAGAATCTTCTAACACCCCGCACACTGGTGATGAGGTAAAAACACTCAAATGGCTTTCAAATTTAAAACAGAAGTTTTGGTAATCACAGACAACCGGCTTTAACAGGTGAGCACGTTTGTAGAATGAGTTCGCTTTGAATTATTAACAATGTCCTCCGCGATTTTATATTCGCTTCAGATAGTCGATCCTGGTTCCTAGGCAAAATATGCAGTTGTAGTTAATTTTAGAGTTCCTTTTGATTAAGGGTTTTGTTAAGCCACGAACAGGTCACGCTGTTTCGTTCAAGTTTCTACATACAACTTTAACCAGAATAAACAGTTCTGTACTGGTATCGCACCAAACTTCAGGAAAATGAAAAACAATTATTCAGATAAATGTACAGTAGATAATGAATGTCTGTAGGCTGCTCCCTGAAAACCCCAGCCATCTCGATACGAATTCTAAACGTAGTTGAACAAGAATGCTTCTTTCCTTCATCGACATCGACCTTGAGGAGTGTTTCGGGCCGAACGGAGCAGCGAATTGTGTCGAATAGTAACGAATAGTAACGTCGGTTTAATAAGCTAAGCAGCTCTTCGTTTACCCTAAAACACAGCACTGACTTGATCTTGGTTATAATCTTTGTAACTTTGCCGCTGTTCGACNTTTCGCTACTCGATGACTATTACTAATAGTCCCCTAGTAGCGTAGCCAATCAAAATGCAGGATTTGCATTAGTCCACTAGTTGGGTGATACTAATTAAATTCATTTTCTGTTCCCTGTTTGAATTATACCTTGCTTGCATGTATGTACAAACTAGCATCGTTTTCTATTGCTGCAATCGTGATTGCGCGCATGATGGCATCTACCAATTTCAGCCTCTAAATGTGACAGCCACTCCGCACTGCATGTGTGGCTATCCACTCTTTTAAACAAACGGTAACGATCTGTTTGGTATTTCGTCTTTTCTAGTCGGAGGGCAAGAATGTTGAATAGGTGCATTTTGAAGTTTCCTACCGCGTGGCAATTTTGCACAAAATATTACAGTGGGTGTCACCGCATTTCGCAATATAAACAATAGCCTCCATTTGGCGCGAAAATATGCTCGGATATTTGTCCGCGGAAATCATCTGTTCCGAGAGGCTAACAGTTTCCCCGAGAGCGTAGCTCGAGAGCATTTTTGAACTTTGAGGAACAAATAATGCCCAAGGACAAATATCCTAGATCTGAACATATTTTCCCGCCAAATGGAGGCTATTGTGTTTGCAATCGTTCAAACATATTTCGCAACTGACCACGCGCAGGTTTGAAAATTGGTGAATATCACTCGGATATTCCTCAGTTTTAGCTGGCTTAGGGTTGGCTTTTGGTCGGTCTGTATAGTGATTAACTGTGACCGAGGTCTTGATGCGGCCTCTGGCGGCATTTTCAAGTCCCAGGTCACAGCAGTTTTCACTCTACGGACCGCTTAAGCCGGTATCTATTTCTTCTTCTCTCTCTCAAATCATTTTTATAATTGTTTGCCTTTTTCCGCACACACATCGCGTGAATTACCATGACTGTGGTCAAAGATATATAGGAAAATCCGGACCGCGCTAAGAGCCAATGGGATTGTAGGATTCGTTATTGTGCCCTCTTGGAAAAAATAATGAAAAATATCGAATCTGAGAAATTCTCAGAAAAGTCAGTTGTGTTGTTTTTTTTGTGTGTGTTGTCACCGCTTGCGTTCATGTAGGGTTTGCCCTCTAATCATCGCGCGGCCTGCTCAGTGATTCTCGTAATCCGAATTAGAATAGAGTCAAACCCCTATTAAGCGGTCACCTATTAAACGGCCACTCCGAAATTATTGTCAGTAAATTACTGTAAATTTAACCCTTATTGAAAGGCCACCTCTATTAAACGGTCGTGGCAACCTTTTGATCGTCCCAATGAGGATCATCTATCGTCCTTACCCCTATTAAGCGGCCACTCAAAATTTAATACTCGTAGTTTGGCTGTGTTTTGGAAAAAGCGTTGACAGATAAGAGTCCTGAATTAAAAGTGAGGACTGATAAAATCATTCAAACTTGTATTTATTGTGATTGTTATGACGTGATTCTATGTTCACTAAGCAATTAACCTGGTAGTAAATGTTACGAAAAATTGTCTAAGGGTGCGTTTCTTTAAGAAAATCCAAGATTGGATTCTTAAATCTGAAAACGGATTTTGCGTTTCTTCTCTAAACAGATTACTCCAAGATCTCTCGGATCATGGCGCGTCAAAAGAACCGAAGAATCCACTCTGGGCAAGGATTCTTCGGTTCCTTTGACGCCACATGGTACGAGTGATCTTGGATTAATGTGTTTAGGAAAGAAACGCTAAATCCGTTTTCGGATTTAAGATTCCAATCTTGGATTTTCATAAAGAAACGCACCCTAAGTGAAGTCAAGTCAAGTCGTAGAACAGGTTATTACTATTCAGCCGTGACCAACTTGTTTAAGAACATTCCGGGACGTACTATTTCTTAATCGTGTCTATAACAAAACTCTCGATCGTGATTCATTGGTTCCTCGCGCGCTTATTTTTCACGTAATCGGCGCGCGGTCACGTGGATGTCCAATTACAGGTATCCAATCTCAACAAGTTGTTACTGAATACTGGAAATTGGATACCTTTGCCATTCGCACGTTATTGAGTTGAATCGATTTGAATCAGGCTAAAGAGTGTGGAATACCATAGATCAAGTACCGATTTAAAAACGCTTTCAGAGACTGAGTTAGCTTAATTAGAGGTTGTAGCCATGCCGAGGCACGCTTTTGTTTGATATATTTTTGTTAGGGCACTTACACTACTTACAGTACCACCGCTACTTAAGATTCAAAGTAGACATTACTTACAAGCTACAGCAACTTATAAAACCATATCAAACCTACTTACAATACCCGATACTTCGGCTACAAACATATTCTAGCATTAGTTACTAACACAACTTACTTATAACTCATTACTTATAACATCGTAACGTAAGTTACAATACTAGCTTAAACATACAATACTTATATTTTAAAATACAATCACAAAGACAATAGAAAATTACAAAGAAAAACATATAATAATTAGTTAAAATACAGTTATTGTTTGCACAGGACAAATTGTCCCCCATGTTTTTGTTAACCAAAAATGTATGAATTCCTTCATCGAATACGAATAGTCAATTGGACAGAATTATGGAGAAAGAGAAAGTTTTGGAGAAAATTTGTACTTTTATTTAAATTGATCTTAAGTTTTGTTCTCAGTGCAGATAGATTTTTCCTTTTCAAATTTGATTTTGATCTTCTAAGCTTGGAAGTATTTGAGATCTTCTGCAATCCCATAGGTATAGTTTGGCTATCAATAAGAGATAATTAGTAAGCCTAAGGGGCATTCTGAAGCTATAATGCTTATTAATACATCTTGTAAACTAAGAATAACAAATTCTTTTGATAAAGAGTACAAGTAAAATTCAAAATATTTCCTGAAAAGCTTTGAGCAAACACGGTTGAAAAGAAGGTGTATTACGGTTTCCGGTTCAGACTTGAAAAAAGAGCGTTTATCCGTCTGTAGTGTATCCTATAGCACCTAATTTGTTATTGGTATATCGAATAAATATGCGGCAGAAGAAACACTTTTTCTAATTAATATTGATTCTCAGATAAGTTAAAATCGCGTTTCAGAACTAAAGAAGTATTAGAAAATTGTGATTTTTTACTTATTAACCTTATATAATTAACAAATCGAATGTGTTTTAGCGTTGTCTGTACTCTTATCGACAACTATATGCGTCATCAGAGTGGTCAAAATGTTTTATTCTAGTGGCTATACAATGGGCGACAAAAGTGCTAAGACACTTGACAGTAATTTTTGTTTTTTCGAGTGTCTTGGAAACATTTGCCCCCTCCCCCCTAAACAACGTTCAGATTGCAATCCCGGACAACAGTGTTGGAACACCAAGCAATTTCTTCCCTCCCCCAGTTAAAAAGCTGATAATCAGGTGATTTTTCCTTTTTTTGTTGGAGAAAACGCGATATTTTCCAACACTGATTAGGGGGGAAGGGGGATACGTGATACAGCTCNGAACTAAAGAATTATTAGAAAATTGTGCTTTTTTACTTATTAACATTGTATAATTAACAAATCGAATGTGGTTTAGCGTTGTCTGTACTCTTATCGACAACGATATGCGTCATCATAGTGGTCAAAATGTTGCGGACTCATTAAGCGCAGCCGAGTGAGTCCACAAAGATCCAATCGACATTCCTTCAGTTTTAGTGGGACATTTTTTATCCTAGTATGCAATGGGTGACAAAAGTGTTGAGACACTTAACAGTAAATTTTGTTTTTCGAGAGTCCAGGACAAAAGTGTTGGAACACCAAGCAATTTCTCCCCTCTCCCAGTTACAAAGTTGATAATCAGGTGATTTTTTTTCTTTTTCTTTTTTAACCCACGACATTTTTTCAACATTGATTGAGGGGAAGGGGGAATGGGTGATACGTGATCCCCAACTATTTGTCCCGGATTATAAAGACACGTTTTGAAGAGGCTTACACGACGCGACGATCAACTCTATATCGGCTTAGTAACCGCGCAACATTGTCAAATCGAACATGGCGGTTTCTTGTATCTTGAGGAAAGCGAGAGTGTTTTCATATTTCTACCACAACAGACCAATACTGACCTCTCCGTCTGGAACGAAAACGTGTTTTAGTGCTCCAGAAAGTTCAGAGGAGGAAAGTTTTGAGGAAATGTTTCGGAATTCTCGATTTGTGAAGATGGGAAGGCCGCAAGGAAAAACAGTGGTTGGCAAAATTTTACACATTGTGGACCACGAAGTCAGCAGAGATTTATATGTAGACTTTGGATGGAAATTTCACGCGGTTTGTACAGAGAAGAAAGGAGAAAAAAGGTACAAATAACAGTTTTCATTTACAAGATTTCTTTGGCGATAGTCTTTAATAAAACCGTGCGTATGTTTTAAGCTTACTGAAGTGAACTGAATTTACAGTTGCTTTTACGTCAGAAACTAACTACAGTAACTGTGGTCCAATCGAATACCATTAGAATTTTTGCAAGTTGTATAATTCACATTTGAAGAAACCTAATGCAAAATGTTAACTGTTCGTGTCAAATGTCTCTCAAATGTTGCAATAATTGATTGCGCTAAAAGAGCTGTTTATTTAGGGTGTGTATTAGCCCATTGTAAGAGCACATTTGACTCTATGCATAAAAATTGTGAGTTATTTATTGTCCCAGTGTCAACCTTGGCTGTGGGCACATCCCCAGTATCAGCACTGTCTGGTTCAGACATTGTATCCTTAGCCAGTGGCCTTGAGTTTAAGCAGATACCATCTTGCCAGCTACTGCTGAATGCAATTTATGCAGAGGTTTGAGCAAGGCTCACAGTGCCTCTCTTCACCCAGGTGTACAAATGGGTACCAGCAAACTTAATGCTGGGGGTAACCCTGCGATGGACTAGCTTCCCATCCAGTGAGGAGTAGAAATAGTCCTAGTCACTTCCTGCTACAGAAACCGGGATAAGCTCTGGCCATTTGGCTCAAATGCAGACTTAACCTGCCTTACCTCAGGTGCAAACTAGGAAACGTTTGTTTTCTTTTGCTTGCAGTGGTTACAAAGTAAATGATCTGGTAAGAATAAAGCTGACTGCACTTGAAGCTGCGGGGCATTTTTTGGGACAAGACAGACATATAACATTATGTGAATCTGATGCTACACTAGAAGGAAAGTTAACACATGACAACTACATTGTGACTGAAAAGGAACTCAGCTGATTGTCAAATAAATTCTCCTTACTTGCTTTCAAATATATTGCTTGTCACTCAACAATCTGTGTATGATAGAGACTGTCCTATATACCAGTATGTGTAATTCAGTTTTACCCGAATGGTGAAGACAAGAAAGTTGCGTTTTGACCAGGTTGGTCACTTATAAAAACTAAATATTTTTTTTCAAGAAACTGCATAAATGCTTCAGTGGTATTCCTTATTATTACCTGGCAACATCTAGGCATTCAATATGCTCAAGGGCATCTACATGTAACTACATAGTCCTCAACGCACCTTGCAAGCCTGGCTTGTAATACTAGTGTATAAACATGTCTATATTATATAGATGTGTATTATTATGGTCTTGACAAATGTACATTTCATAACCACACACAACTACTCACAAAAAACTGATGTAAGTTTTATTTCACAAAACAAATGCATCGTTCAGTGCAAATATATTATACAAGATTTGTAGTGACAAAGGCACTCTGATTTTCTATTTAACATAATTTTCACATTTTTGATAATGTTTGTCCCTCTTAATAAGAATATAGCTTTCAAACTACCATACATACAGCAATTCATCTTCAAGGTGAAGTGATCTAATTCTGTCGACAAAATAATGGTTCTTCAAGGTGACGGAAAATAACTGTGATTAATTTTGTAATGGGTCTATATAACCTATTACTTTTTTTGTGGTAAAACTCATTGTTTTCAGAAATTGAATTTAATGAATCTTATCCTGAAAAAATTCAGACCAATTTTTTCCATATTTGTCACTTGCAATCTGTTTTAGTGTTGAAACCATCCACAAAAGTTATAAATTATTGTTTTTCAGGGGAAGAGACCTCATGGCCAGTTCTACTAGTAACACTCCGATTGTGCACTGAATTACTGAATTTCAAATGACTGTTGAAAAATGCATTCACAAGACTGTTTTTTTCCTCTCTCTAGCTCAGGGCTACTGGACAAACCCTTAACAGTAATTTTAGATAAAATTTTGCACAGTGGTGCTTAAATAATTGTTATTTTATTCATATTTGATCAAAACATCGTTCAAGAGATTGTCTTTCCTTGTGACTGAAGATGGTTTTTTAACAACTCTTCACAGGCTTGGTGGTTAAATCGCACCGCTTCATCGAGTGGAGAAAATCCCCATCTGCAATTTACAAAATGAAAATCAATTCTACCATAAATATCATGCCATTTACGTTGGGTTATTTTAGCACAGGACTGTTATTAGTTAAATTGCACTTTTTTGAATAACAACAACAACAAATACAAAAACTTTTATTTCACCCCCGAGTTATAAATTACAATGTTATGGAGTAAACAAAAATGATAGGGGTGCTGGCTACCTGAAATAAACTAAGAGTTAATGCCAGGCAGTCAGTGAAAAGAAAAGAAATTTTACATGTTTGGATCAGGGACACAAAACAAACAAACCTGAAATAAACTAAGTAACCACCAGTATGTACAGTAGTTTATGTTGTTACTTACTACTTTATGCACTATCAAAATCTCAAATGTTTTAAGACAGACACAAATAAACAAATGAAGTTTCCAGTTTGCTGTACCTGTCTTTTGGATCAGCTGGAACAGCACAGTGATCTAGCAGGAATTTAACTACCTCAGAACAACCTAAAATGCAAAAGTTGGCAACAATAATTAGTACATCTGGGCTAAAAACCAAATTTACTGGCAGCTCATGCACAGAGGCAGGTTTACTCCAGAAGATATCTTCGCAGACAGACCCTTGTGATTCAGAAATTTGAGTAAATAACAGTAGAACCCAGTTAATATTACCATGTTTGGGCCATAAAATAATACTGTCTACAGTTGTTTGAAAGGGATGGTCATATTAAAGAGCATGACAGAATTCCACTGCAGCAATCATATTGTAATGAAATTGATATAGTGATTGCATGAGCCAAGATGCATGTGCTAAGATGTGTAATGGTTGTATTTGAATGTATACTCGCACAAGTTCTAAGACTAAGAGACGGTTTTATGCTGAGTATGGAATGCACAATGTACTCGTAGTACAGGATATATAAGGGATTCACATTACGTAGTGGCCTGTGTGTGTGAGTAGACTTGCCATGTACAAGTAAGCTGAATGTTAACAGGCGAGTAATTAACCCGTTGGCTGTTGGACTCTTTGACTGGAAGTTGTAATTGTCGCCTGCACGCTTTAGAATATGATATCTATTAAAATATTTATTACTGGTAATAGTATCCATTAAAATTAATCATTCATCACTACCTTGAGCTGCAGCTATGTGTAATGCTGTGCGTCCATCATAATCTGTTAGAGTCATGTCTGTACCAGACAGATAATACCTGAAACAACCAAAAATTCAAAATTATACATAGTTACATTTTTCAATAACTATATGTCAGTATTTTTACATCATGAGATTTCACGACATTATACATGTACTTGTATGGTAAAAAGAAGCCTCTGGATAGAATAAGATAGAAATTACGTAAAGGTTAACATGACTGTTACCTTCTTAAGGCTGTCACGTCTCCATAACTTGCAGCATAAAGTAGATATACAACTTGTTCTCCCTGTCAGTAAATTATGCATTAAGTCATTATTTTTTATTTAGTATTATATATATTATTCCACAGTAATAATTCTTCACATTCTCTAACACAAGAATGCTCACTAGTCAGAGTTCTTGCACTTGCTAGCAGTATCACTGGTAGAATGGCAGCAAAGGGTTTATATGAAGTACGTGACGAGGGCAAAAATTTATGTGAAATGTGAAAAGTAACTCAAAAGAAACTAAAGTAAAATGACTTGTGAATTTATAAATAAACCTATTTGTTAAAACTCTATGTGATATATAAATAATTTGTGCCTTGACCTCTCACTTGTGCATTTTACTCCCTCCAAATCACCCCGTTCCCACCCTCCGTTGCTACCCACTGGTAAGCAGTAACTATGGATGTATGGACGTACATTAAGTGCTGAGTCAACATAACGTCAAACAAAGAAAGCTTGGCCTGCTACTAGCTTGTACAATAACTCTATTATATAGTGGAATTCTGATTTCTTGAACTCTCATTTTTTCAAACCTCCCGATAACTAGAACCAAAAGTAGTTTCCCTCTCCTTAGTTGAACACTGTAATTTTACCCCTGCTTTTTCAAACCAAATTTTGTTTCCCTTGGAGGTTTGAAAAATCAGGATTCCACTGTACTTGCTTGCATGTCTACTGACGCTGAAGTGAGCTGATGAAAAAGTTAACAACAAACTCTGCAACTGGCCTGTCAGCTGATGACCCAATAAGTGCCGCGACTCTCTTAGCAGTTACCAGCTATTAATCCGAATATTATTCATTAGCCAAGGCATGTTGCACATTGCTGAGATACTTGTCCTATCAACACCAGGTAACTTACCAAATTTGAGATTTGTATGAGCAGTAGAGATATTGAACACAAAACACATACCTGTATTTCAGCTTTTCTCCTGCGAGGGTCTAATTTTCTTCCCGATGAAGCACCCTTTAAATCATAGTTGTGAAAATCAAAGTAGTTGACAAGTTCCTGTCAAAAGGAAATATTCAGACTTCAACTTAAGAATTCAGGGGTTGCAGCAATATTCTCATCATTGTCATCAACATCATCATCATCATCAAAACAGCACCATTGTCAGCATTCTTGTTATGTCATATAATGTTCAAGGCCTGAATAATATACTCTCATGACAGCTCATACATAATTTATTACCTTACAAAACTGCATTCCTCTGACACTGTTACCATGCTGATCCAAAGGGGGTGACCACACCATGATACCACATACTTTCGGCACAACAATCAAGATTGCACCACTTACACCTGATTTAGCTGGTAACCCAACCTGGATCAATGGAAATCAACACCAAAAAGATTATTCATCCAGTTGTTAATGTAACGGCACCTGTGTGCCTTTTGTGTCACGTCTGTCACGTTTGGCTGACGATTCGAGTTTGCATCATTACTTACATCATTACGTCCCAGCATGCGCTTTAGTTAGTTTTAGTACTTTTAACCACGCGGTGCCCTTGCAGCCCGGAAAGGCGCGAGTTTTCTGTCGTTTCTCGCATTCTACTTTCCCCTTTTTGTTCTCTACCACTCACGGCATTATGTTATTTCAGTTTTGACAGTTTTACCCTGGAATTAAAGTTGTTCAACCCACATGGGCCTTTGTTGTTTCTTTTACAAGCACCCGTACCGGTACAGTTAAAAATGGTGAATGTTTAGTTCCAGAAATTATGCATACATGTTTGTGCACCCCATGCATATATGTTTCCAACCCCATGGAAATTCCAATCAGGCTTCATAAATTTCTTGAAATTTTTTGGTCTTATAGAATCCCCCACCCCCAGGAAATTCCTGCCAATTCCTTCTGTGTGAAGAGTATGGATATTTTCTGGAACTCCACAATAATAAACATACTAAATAAAGAAAACAACATTACCACAGCTTCTCACACAATGTAATACAGAATTCGTAAATATTTATTGACTTTGACTTTCTCACCACTGAAAATATCTTTAAAACTATAAAATCACTAGAAAACATTTATCCCTATACTAAAAAAACAATTTACACAATATTACATGTTACAGTCTTGGTATATGTACAGTTAATCCTTCTTACATGAAAAGCAAACTGTCCAGAGTAATCATACATTCCACATGAGTGCATCAGAGACAATGTGTGCTGTACAGTCCGAGAACTAAAAACCTACACAAAAATAAGCCAAACAAAATTATATGTGGTTTAATTATTGAGATATTATCAATACTGTTGCCATGGTGACCCAGTGGCGGTGATTAGACCATCATAACACACAACCCTGGCACACCAGTCACATGATTGCAGACTTGTACCTGGCTTAGTCGGCAAACCCACCTGAATTGACAGAATTCAATTCCCAAGGGAATAATATCATACCTTGAAATGGTAAATATTCATGTGACAAGAAAACAGGCATGCACTTCTTGAAAAGGATTTAGTTATTTCAAATCAACTCTCTAAACCTTGGGACTTAACTCATCATCATCATCATCATCAGCTCTTATTTTGACATGCGCTACATAAGGTTGATAATATCATGCATAAATTTTTAGTGCACTTCTCTTGTGCATTCACCGACCACTGATGAAGCAGTAAATAGATAATATCTATTAATACATTATAATAAGAAATAATAATTATTATACTCCACTTTTTTCCAAGCTAGCCACATGGCTGTATTTAAGTTTACTTTGCCATGATGATTTTAAAATTTTCAGCCATTGATTTGTTCAAGTTTATTCAAGTATTCAAGTGTATATAATATTCTAGGAGAGTAACATTTTATTTAGCTTTAGCTAGTGGTTTTGAGTCAGAGAACTTACTTTTTGACCAGTAAGTGGACAAATTCCTCCATTGGCCAAAGTTGCAGCCATGACACTTCCAGAATCACAGTTGCTTTCTGTTGAGCAAGTCTGTAATGAAAAGGAAGTCATCATTTTGTAATCAATCATACATTGATTATAAATAGCAAAAAATCTTCCAATCTGGCAAAGAGAATATTTTAAAGCTCATTCTTGTCCCACTCACATGAAAATAAAGTTCAAAAGTATCCATAAGATTTGTATTTGGTGGGAATGCCTGAAGAGAATAAGAGATGAAACAATTTATTAGTTAAATAATGTAATGTAATAAGCTGGTTTAACTCTGATAAGATAGGACACTCTCAATCTTCTTGGGAAAAACAACTGTTGATCTTACTCAGTTACAATATGCCAAAAAATTTGCCAAGGGTAGTATGAGCCCAAACTGGAATTTCCAGAAGGGTGGGGGTGAAGGTCAAACCAAAATATCTTACATGAAGGGTATGCATATTTCCGGGAACAAACACAAAGCAAACATCAACAATACCCTGCCTAGGGCTGCAGCAAGTGCCATTGCATTTTGTTGGTGATGGGTGGTTAAACAGGAAGTGTGGGCCTTGTGACTTGTGTGAGTGCAACAAACTCACAGCTTCCTACCCACCACAGCCTAGCAAAAGACTCGCTGGGAAGGATGCCAGGGGAAAAGAGACCAAGATGTACATTTTATTATTTGTTTCACCTTGTGAGCATTCATGTAGTATCCTAAAGCATAGTTTCTGTCAGCTGTCTCGCGCTCAGACAGAAACCTGAAAGAATTGATGGCAAGGTTGAGCTAAAACATTATACTAGAAAATTTGTAGTATGACTGAGTATGAGTACAAGATTGAGGGTGAGTTAAAGACTTTTCAGTTCTAGATTGCAGGTGTCACATTGTCTTGCTACTTACCCGTCTCATCCTATGAGCTACTCTCTCTACCTAAAACCAACATGAAGAGCAAGGGCTCTGGAAACATCACTAGTTTGAAACTGGAATTTAATTGTACCGTCTAGTACTCTATCTTGTACTCATACTCCAATCTTAAGGTCCCTATAGTTAACAACAGAAGTGGCTCACACTCCTATGTACACTTGGTAATTAACAATTGAGTAATATATATTATTACAAAATGACAATGAACACAATCTTTAAGTTAGACAAAAAAGCACCTACGTTGCATTACTGAATCCAATGTATTCTCCCCCAGCTACTTGCTTAAACTTCCCCTGAACCTGTTAATTTTCCAAAACAAAAAATTACAAGTCAGAGAAGTGTCAGGTTATCCTCTGCAGCTCAGATCCACTACAAATAAATATTAGTCTTTAGAACTGGTCCACTGGCCTGGTTGGCAAGGATGCTGAAATTATGTTGTATCTCCCACAAAGACTGAAGAAAATGATATGCTATCTATATAAATATTAATTTTCTCCTGAAAATTCATAGAGATCAGGGAATATTTATTTATTATTTCTTACCAGCAAGCTTAGAGAAGATTATAATTCAATTCAATTAATACTTCTCAAACTCATTATTTTCAACTCTCTTCTCAATGTTTGGATATGTGGTCAAACACAATCTTTCATGTTTGATATACCACATCTTAAGTTATTTTTAAATGATATCTCATTTAGTATTTAAAATAAAGTTGTTTTCTTATTCATTCAGTAATCATTTTTGACAGGATTTATTAAGATTCATTTGGCAATTTATGTTACGCTCATAATTTTAAGGACTGAGAGTGAATTGTTCAATTATTATTAGTTTTATTTAATTAGTGAAGATAGTACTTGATTTAATCCCAAAGGTAACTGGTATTTTATCATTCTATCATTTTGCTGTGTACTTACATATTCGCATCTGTCAGCCAAGGGCAGCTCAGGCTGCAAAAAAATGTGACTTTAATTTAATATGTATTTTCAACAAAGTTTGCCCACAGCATGAAAGGAAACCAGCAAGTTTGTCTGGTCAGAAGAACTAGACAAGTTCGTGATACTAATCAAATGGCAGATGCAGCATGGTATATTTGTCATGAATTGCTCAACATACATAGCACATGTACAGCCTATACTTTTTTCCAAATTACTAATCAGACATGTTTGCATCTTAACACATTTTTATGTATTCAGTTAATTAAAACACTGGCAAGACAAAATATCATAATTATATCTAAAATAAATTAATGGAGTAAATATTATTAAATAAATATTATAAGAGAAAAATATATCATAATTATTATTTATAATAAATTATAATTATGAAAAATATATTATAATAATTATAATTATTTCCAGATAGCTTTCACAAATATTTAAACAAAATATTTATCACCTACCTTTTGAAGTGCACATAGAACTAGGGCACCAGAATTTAACATTGGATTGTGAGGCTGATCTACAAATCAAGAAAAATCATATTAACAAACAGGTAATTAACAATTGACTGGTGCGGTATATTACAATTTAATACTAACCGTTGTTATTCAAGTGTAAATAATTAAATGCTTGCCCACTGGGTTCATGTCCGACGTATTTATGCACCTAAAGAAGAAAAAACATAATCTAAGCTATAAAGACATCTTTGCACTTTGTTTATAATTTACTCAAAAAGTGTCTGGAACCCTGATCAAGCACCATCCCATAAGCAAAAAAGTGCTTCAAACACAACAGTATTTTTTTTTGTTTGGGAGGTGGGGATACCTGTAGGTTTAATGTACCATGTAATGCTGATTTTGCGAACCTCCAAGGGAAACAAAAAAAGGAGGAAACAACTTTAGGTTTGAGTTATTGGGAGGTTTGAAAAATCAAGGATTTGATAAATTGTGATTCCACTGTATATATAAATTCAATGAAAACTTAATATAAGGATTTTGAAAAGTTGGGCTATTTTGTAATTGGAAGAATTGAATTGCAGCTCTTTGTAGGGACTGGGGGAGATGGGGCTGGTATTAGGCTATAACCCTACCACTTTCCTGCTTGGGTCAATTTTTTACAGCTCCTGACCAGATGACATGTACATGTATAATGTATGAATTTTACCACTTGAAAGAAACAAAACAATGGAACACTGACCCCTGGTGCTTGTTTGCATTGGCAAGAGTTTTTAGCCCCATCAAAATGGTCTCTGTGGTGGTCCCTGCTTTTATTTGTTACAATTTCTTTTTCTTGAGAAAACTAACCCTCCTTCTCTCCCTCCCCTTGGGACTTTTAATTTTATTGAATAATTTAACAGTAAACCATAATTGAAATTTAGTGACTCACCACCTCTGCTGTTAGATCCTCTAAAACAATTGGATAGTGCAGGCACTTGGACACTGACTGAAGACAAAAATGATCTCTGTAGTCCCCAATAGCAAATCTAAGAAAGAAGAAACATAATCAGTTGTTTTTATTCAACAAAATGCATGGAATCAGTATGTGTGCAAAGTACCTCTGTCCATCTACAGAACAAACAGCCACGCCCCACAGGTCAGGGTCGAACTTTGCCAACTGAGGAATGTAATCAGCAACCTGCAAAAATGTTACCATGAGTCATGGTCATGTGAAACTCCTTGCAAATCAGACCATCTTCCTGCTCATAAAAAGTCCAAAATAATTGAAAAAAAAAACATTGTGGTCAATTTAAATGACGTCTCACAAATTACTCTGA